GCAGTCCAAGTGCGCATCCATAACATCGCGGCGTGTTTCGCTCTGATTTGTTGAACTGCGCGATTCAACGCGCGGCCCGTGACCGCGGCAACGTGGCGATGACGGTCGCGGCGTCCCTGGCCCCCTCGTTCCCAAGCCTATTCGCAGATTTCATGCGCGCGACGTCTCTGGAGGTCAGTTGCCCCCCATTGTGGCAGGCCACTGTAAGAGGCCCACGAAAGCAGCCGTTTGGAAAGCACGGAGGACCTCCTCGACCTAGTAGAGGAGCAACATTTGTTTGCCTCCATCGGGATCGCAAAGGTCTGGGAGCCACCAGGGGGTGATGCGGGCGAGGTGGTCGACCCAGCTTGCTCGGGCCTCCAGGGCGCGTTGAATCAGCGGATCGGTTGCAGCTTGTGGAGCGCGGCGGTTTGGTGAGACGTGCTCTCCGCCGTGGCTGCTGTCTCGGCGGGTTTCCCTTGGGCCCGGGGGCGGAAGTGGTTCGTCCATCGCGACCTCGGGGGCCCTTCGCGCGATCGGCGCTGGGGTGACGTCGCGGGGGGGGCCGCACCTGAAGCGGGCCCTGTCCGCCGTGAGGAGGCCCGCTGTCGCGCGGGGAGGCGCCCGTTGCCCCTCCGAGGACGAAGGGGTCATAGTCGCCGTCGGCCGGTATATCACCGGGTCTGTCGAGGGACGACGGGAGGCCGTGAAGCACGATGTGAGCGTCCTCCTCCGAGATCGGTTGGGCGCCGTCGTCGGCCGAGGGCGCCGCGGGGTCAGCTGTTGGGCCCGCCCGCGGGCGTGGTTCCACTCGCCCGAGTTTAGCGCTGGGGTAACCAGCCCGTCGGCGGGGCCGGGGGCGCGCGCAGGTGCGTTTGTCGAAGATAGTGACCGCGGTGGTGTGGAGGGCCACGGCACGCCTGAAGCGCCGCCCGGCAGCGTCGCACAGAGCCGCAGGCACGCCGTGGAGCGCCGCCGCGCCAGAGCCTTTCTGTTGAAGTATTCAGCCGTGGTTGAAAGCAGACCAGTGTTGACCCCTTCTTCGCCTTTGTGGGCGGGGACTTCTCGACTCGGAAGAAGTCGCGGCGAAAGTGGGCAGCTTGATGCATTCGCTTCCAAGGAACTGCCTGCGAGCCCTTGGTTGGGGGCTGAGCGCCGCTGAGCAGGAGCTCGAAGGTGTCGCGACCCGTCAGATTGTCCACGAGGATGTAGGATGTGGACTGGCCTTTCGGTGGTAGACGCCACGTCGAGAAGGGCCAAGGTCTCAGTGCGATGAGCGGACTGAGCCAACCCGTGGACTCTGGCAGAGTGATTGAGACTGTGATCGGTGCCGTAGAAGACTCCGAAGCCTGCCCGCGCGAGCAGCGGGTGGGCTTGGCGCGAGCAGGCCCCATCGGTGGCCGCGTCGACCCAGCGCGCGCCGTCTGGGTCAGAGCTTTATTGCCATGTGTCCTGCCGGAGGTCGGGCCGGGGCCGAGGGGCCGGCTGAGGGGGCGGGTCCTGGGCCAGGGCTTTCTGCAGGTCGAAGATGGGGGTCCTCCGACAGCAGGCCGCAGCGGCGCGCGCGCGGCGGGAACTGAGCCCACTGGTGGTCAGAGACCATGGTTGATAGGGCTCGGCGCTGGTGGGCTCAGCACGGGCATCGCCACATGATTTGTTCCTGCGTCCCTTCCTCCTGGTCGCAGTAGCGGAATATCAGGGAGTCATCGGCAATTCATTTGGAACGGTGGAGGCGCTTTTGCGCGTGGTCGCCTCCGGCCAGATAGTTGATGAGAAAGCTCCGCTTGCCTGGCGGTGCACTTGAGTCGGTCCTTGGTGCGTAGGAGGCACGCGGAGGCGTACATGTCGACCCCTCAAGGCGCTTGCGCGAGGAAGCCGAGGTCGTGCCGGGAGGGGTTGATCTTACGTAAGAAGGACCGCCTGTGGGACGCCCAGAGCATGTGGGCGAGGCAGCCAGGCGGGAGGGTGAGCCACACGATGGCGGTGCCCCAGTCGTCGTACATGAGACCTTTGGTGAGCAAGGTGCAGTTGAGCTGGTCGAGGGCCTCAAAAAAGTCGGCCGATGGGACCGCTGCCTTGTCCTGTTAGAACTGCCAGGCGAAGGTCAACAACGCGGCTGAGCTGGTTGTCGCTGTTAACCTGTCTGCGGACAGCGTTGAGAACCTCACGCTGCGTGATGGCAGTAACGTCGAGCGCATGGCCAGGCACGCAGATGGCCATCGAATCATGGCCCAGTGGGAGAACCATGACCGCCCGCGGGGCCGAAGAGCGACAATGAGTGCATTGCTGAAGCCGCCAGTGGCGGCAGCCGAAGGCGCCTGCACGTCGGCGCCCGTGGTGCAGACGCTGGCGATAAGTGACCTGGCCGAGCGCGCTTTCTGCCCCATGCCCTCGGGGAGGCCAGCGACGCGCGGAAGGCGGTTCTGGGCCTTGCGGACGCGGGCGTCCGCAGAAGCCGACAGGCTGAGCTGGTCGGGGGTGGGATCAGGGTGGAAGTGGACGTGGCTGCCAACCAGCTCAAATTGGTTGTGCATGCGAAGAAGTCTGCCACAGAGCGTCAGCTGGTTGACTTGATCCCAGAGCGTCTGGCCGGGGGCCTAGTCGAAGATTTTCCCCGGGTGCACCATCTGTCCGGAAAAATAATCAAATCGTTCGGTCTGCTTGAACGCCTCGCCGAGCTCCGCTGCCGAGGCGGCGGTGGAGTTGCTCTCATCGACGAAGGTAACCCTGAGCGACTTCGGGACGTAGCAGTGCTGCCGGACCCCTTTTGGGGTCTCTTGGACCCCTCTTTGCGCCGTCTTAGCGCCCTCTTGGGCCGTCTTGGCGCAATATTGAGCCGTCCTGGGGGCCCAGCCCGGGAGCCCCTGGACCCGGTGCGCCGTTGTGTATGTAAGTATGTGTGCATGCATGTGTGTATATATGTATGCATGCATTCATGCATGCATATATGTGTGTACATATGATGTGTGTATGTATTTACGTATGTATGTGTGTATGCCTGTCTGTCTGCTTGCGTGCATGTATGTACGCATGTATGTGTGCCTGTGCATATGTATGCATGTATGCATACATGTATGTGTGTCTGAAAGTGTACGCATGCATGCATTAAGTATGTTTAAGTATGCTTGTATACATGTACGTTTGTATATGTAGCACATGTGTACATCGATCGATATATAAGCATGTATGCATGCACACACGTGTGTGCGAGTGTCTGTGTGCACGTATGGATGTATGCATTTGTGTATGTATGTGTACGTGTGTATGTGTGTACGTATGTATGTGTATATGTATATATATATATGCATGTGTGTACGCATTTATGTATGGTTGTATGGATGCTGTGTGTATGCGTGCATGCATGTATGTATGCATGCATGTTGGTTTGTACGTATGTATGCGTGTACGTATGTATTTAGGTGTAGATGTATGCATGTATGTATGGCTGTATGAATATGGCATGCATGCATGCATGCGTGTATGCATGCATGCATGCATATGTGTATGTATGCATGTGTGTATGTATGTATGTATGCATGTATGCAATTAAGGTTGCGTGTGTATACATGCATATATGCATGCACACATACATATATTTATATCTTTATATATGCATATATACATGCACATGTGGCTGTACGTGTGCATGCCTGTGTGTATGTACGCCTGTATGTATGTATGCAGGCATTAAAGTATGTATGTGTGCATGTATGTGTATATGTGCATGTATTTATGTGATACGTGTGCATGCATGTACGGATGAATGTGTGTACGTGTGTATGTATATAGATGTATGATTGTGCGTCTGTAGGTATGTATGTATACATGTCTGCATGTATATGTTTGTATGTGTGTATGGGTGAGTATACATGTATGTATGCATGCATGTATGCATGTATGTGCACGTGTGTATGTGTATGTAGCGATGCCCTTCATCTGCTGAAGAAGCTCCTCTTAAAACCCAAAGCCGCTACGCTTTTCCGGGCTCACCACTGCCTCTGCAAACATTCTGAAAGCACGAGGACGGCCACTGTTGGGGCCGGCCTCGACTAGCCAAGGGTGGGCGGGCACGGGAGAGCTTGAAGCCAGAGCCCCCGCGCGTCGAGGAATCGCTGCAATCAGCGATGCCCTTCCTCTGCTGGAAAAAGCTCCTCTTAAAACCCAAGGCCGCTACACTTTTCCGGGCCCACCACTGCCTCTGCAAACATTCTGAAAGCACGAGGGCGGCCGCTGTTGGGGCCGGCCTCGACTAGCCACAACCGCTCTTGGTGGTAGAAGGGGCGGGGGAGGGAGGAGCGAAGCGGGCGCCGAAGAGCTCTGTTGGCAGCGGCGGCGGCGCACGAGGACCGTGACCGGAAGGGCTGGGGTCGACGTCGCTCGGCCTCGGTAAACGACTCGAAGACAGAAGCTGCCGGGCGGCCTCGCAAAGGGGGGGGGCGCCGGCAGCCTCGGCGAAAAGCCGGACTTTACTACGGAGGGGACTCGGGAGGTCCGCGAGGAGCGTGCTAGCCCCGATCTCCTGGATAAAAATCTCTAGCAACCTACTGGAGAGCCATCAGCCCCTGTAGCAAACCCAGTCTGGCGAATCTGTGAGCCTATACCAACACGCGGCCCCTCCCGAGCGGAGGGGCGCTGGGGTGATGCCGCCTTTGTCTGAACGTTGAATTCCGAAGAGAACCTTGAGGGAATCCAGACAACATCTGAGAGCACGGGCATCATCATGCAAAAGAGGGGAGCGAGGGGAGGACAGAAGTGAGAGGGCCACGAAGAAATGCACAACTGTGGGACATCAATCCTGATGTGCACGCAGCGCGCTCATAGGCGTCACATTTTGGGCGCGCCCACGTGCACATACCTTGGATGCAAACGATCCAACGTCCGCAAGGGGAGCGCCAGGTCCCCGAACTTCAGCCTCAGGAACTCGAAGGGCCTCATCATCCCGAGGAAGCCGAGGATCGGGCCGCCGGAGATGTCGCACCAGCCCCACGCCAGTGCAAGGCTCGCCGAGCGAGCAGCAGCGCCTCCGGCCTCGCCTGGTGGTTCGAGCCAGGCGCCAGGTGCTCCCGCGCGAAGGAGATGTCCCACGACGCGTCGAGTCGGTATCGGAGGGCACGATTTGCGTCCGCCATCCAGTGCTGGAGCTGCGAGACGAGGGCAGCACGGCGCGTCTGGACCCCTGGCGTCAGGCCGCGCGCGGCCGCCAGGTCCGCCCCCGCGGGGCGGGAGGTCGGCGGGCGCGGCGCGGCCGCAGGGCCCCGCCGCAGCAGCAGCGCCAAGAGCCCGACCAGGCGGGCCCGCGGCTGCGCCGGCCCGGCTGCAGCGGCGCGGGAGGCCAGTGCCGGGGCTCCACGAGCCCGGCCCCAATGAAGGCTGGCCGTGCCCGGGAGGGGCCGGGCCGCCACCTGACCAGGGGATGAAATCCTGCTCACCTCCATGGGGGGGCCTGCTCGGCAAGCCGCCTCCGCCGCGCGGGCCCTCGCCCGGGAAGCCCAGCGCGGGGTCGCGCACCCGCGGTCGAGGGGCGAGCCGCAAGAGCCCACGCCACCAGAGGCACGCCACCAACCAAGCCCACCGAGACTGCTGCCGGCGCTGCAGCGGGAGCGCAGCCCAAGCGCGGAAGGCTGAGGCGTCCCCAGCCTCGAGGTTGGCCAGCCAGCACGGAGCGGGAGGCGGAGCCTCGGCCCCGCGGGCCAGAGCGCGCGCCGGGTCGCGGAGCGTGCGCGACGGGACGTCGGCTGGCTGCAATCGCGTCGGCGCGAAGTGGCATCCGATGCGCGAGCCCGTGGCCAGCTGCAACGGGGCCCTCCTTCTCAAGAGCTTGTCGATCGCAGTCGATGAGGAGCGGCCCTTGCTGATGGCCCCGATCGAAACGCGGGGGTCCAGGAGGAGGTTGTGCTTGCAATCGGGGAACCGTAGGCCCTGCTCGTCCACCGCGTCGCAGGCCGCGTCGATCTCCAGCAAGTTGATGTGGAGGGGCTTGCGGAAAAGGCGATGGCAATGCAGCTGCCAGGGAGCGAAGCCAACGTAGTCGTTCAGCCAGAGGGCCTCGAACGCTCCAGCGGGCGCCGAGCTCTCCGCCGGTGGCGGCGGAGTCGGCCCGTCCAGGTTGTTGGCGATCAGCTTAGACAGCTCGTCGCAGAAGCCGTGCGGGTAGAGCGCGGCTTTGGGAGTCAGGCCGCCCTCTAAGACCGTGTGCTTGTGCCCTCCGCGACAGCGCCTCGCCATAGGCGCCAGCCAGGAGCCCCGCACGACCAGGAGGCTCGTGTCCTTCTTCCAGGGCGCACCGAACTGGCACATCGAGAGGTCGAAGCGCTCTACGGCCTCGTGCGTCAGCAGGAACTCGACGATGCGCGCGTGCCAGGAGTAGGCCGTCAGGGGGTGCTCGTGCAAGCCGGTGCCGTGGCCCGAGAGAAGGTGGGCGAACAGCGCCAGCATGCCCACCCTGAAGAAGACGTTCCCCAGACGCGTCGGAGTCGAAGATGGGTCGAAACCCCAGGGCCGCGCCCTGGACCTGAGCCTCGGGTGCCTCGCGATGGAGAAGCTGGTGCATGGAACCTGTGATATAGTCATCTTGACGCGCCTCTGCCAGATCAGCCATACTACCCACTCCGCCAAGCGTGAGTCGACCAGGTCCCAGTATTTGTGGCACTTGATGTCTATCCTCGGGCCCGCACGCAGGCCCCGGTCCGCGAGGTTGCCCATGAGACGGGCCTCCTCCCCGCAGCAGAGCTCCAGCACGTCGAAGTACTCGATCAGCGAGGCCGTCGGGTCGACGGCGCCAGGGGGAGGGGCGGCATCCTCCTCCAGGTCTTGCAGGACGGCGCCGTCCTCGGGGTTGGCAAGGGCAGCCCAGCCTGAGGGGTAGAGGCACGTACGGGCGCCTCGCTGCTCGCGTTGACGCCAAAAAGCTCTGGCGGTGGGCGCTGAGGCAGGCGTCTTGACGGACGCCCCGGCCAGGTGCGAGGCGTCCGAGGCCAGAACGTGGGGCCCCCAGCCTGCGGAGAGGTCGGTGGCCATCAGCGGGAGGAGAACCGCGAACAGGGCGCACTCGTTGCAGGTCGCGCTGCTCAAGTCGAACACCTCGTGCGGGTCACGGCCGACGTCGACCTCCTTGTAGCAGTAGTGGAGGAGCGACTGGGTCGGCCGCCGGAACAGCGCGGTAAAAAGCCCCATGCCAAGGAACCTCTGCAGCCCGAGCGTAATGGAGCGTCGGCCTCGGGCCATGGACAGGCCCACCCAGGCCAGCGCCAGCCTGCGGGCGCGCGAGGCGCCGACGAGCCGGTCGTGGCCCAGGAGCTCTGCCCCGATGACCGTCGCCTCCGCCGCGTCCTTCACCTCCTTGCCCGCGCTGACCCTGAGGCCAGCCTTGGCATAGCCCTCGCGCGCACGGGCGAAAGACTCCTCGATAGCTCGCCGAGCTTCCCGCGAGCCTGGAGCGTCGACCGCCAGGCCGAAGTGGTCGTCCAGCACGACGCCCTCCCAGGCCGACCCCTCGGGGGCGAGGTGGCGGTTCAGCACCCGCCGTTCTGGAGGGAAGCTGCCGGCGTGGGCGAGCAGCCGCATGTGGGACTCGCACGCCCAGTCGGGAGCGTTCAGTCCTCCCATGATCAGGCCGCCATGGCAGGTTTTCTCGGGGAGCTCGCGACCCTCACGACGGCAGCGCCTCCGAAGCCGGCCCAGCGCTGCGAAGCCCTCCTAGAGCCTCGGAGGGGGAGCGCCACGTCGTTGGTGCGGGCCATGTCGTAAATGCAGTCAAAGGCGGGATAGAAGTCCTGTGGGTCGCCCGCCCAGACGCGCAAGACAGAGCCAGCCGGCACCTCCAGGTCCACCAGCGTAGCGGCGCTCGGGGTCAGTCTGGAGAAGCCGCCCAGCGGCAACTCCGCCGAGTTGCGAGCGATGCGATTGAAGACAACCCTCTGCGTGTGGGCGTCCTTGAACACGGGGAATCGGGTACCTCGCAGGGCCTGCGGGGAGTCGGCCGCGTCGACCAGCTCCAGTCGCCCCACGTCATCCCACTGCTTCAGGTACTGGAGGAGGTCGCCAGGCTTGCCCGCCTGGCGGGCCGGCCTCGCAGGAGGGGGTCGGGTCGGGGGCCCGGCCGCGCGCGCCAGAGGGCCGGCGCCCGGCCCATCCCGCGCCAGCAGCCGAGGCTCTAAGAGCGTGGCGGCGGAAAACGGGGCCAGGAACGCCAGGGGGTCGAAGTGACACTCGGCCTTGGCGAAGGGAGCCTTGCTCGGGTCGATGGTCATCACCTCGGAGTCAGGAGAGGGCGCCACGGCGCCCAGGGGGAGATGCATCGCATTCAGGAGATAGTCGAGCAGAGCGTCGGCCTTCTCCACGCGGCCACCTTGCCATTGCAGGGGCCGGCACATCGGTCGCACAAGCCTCCTCAGCCTGGACGCCATCTCGGACTGAGACGAACTGAGAGGCCTCCCCGCGCGGGCGCGCGGCGGGCAGCTCCGCGACTCGCCCAGGTGCAGGTGGGAGAGAGCGAGGGCGACGGCGTTGACCCACATGTGCTCGACGTGAGTGCGAAGCCATCGCCTGCGAGCGCCCACGCCCCGCGGGGGGGCACCAGCAGCCCACCCGAAGGGCGGGGGGCAGGGCAGCAGACCGGCAGCAGGAGTCGCAACCTCCTGGAACCCAGCGGCGTGCATGGAGGAGCGGACGAAGGCGCCGAAGGCTGTGCGAAGCCCGCGCAGGCGGCGGATCAGGCCAAAACCCCAGCGGATGCCCACGTCCAGCGAATTGCTGCCGCCCACCAGCCTCCTGCGGCCCCCCGCGCGTCCGCGCGGACACGAGGCTGGGGCAGCGTCATGCAGAGCTCCCGGGCCAGCCAGCCTAGGGAGCCCCGCTCTCACTCGTGGGGGGGCGCGCCAGAGGCCTTGCCTTGGCGCTGCGGGCCCCCCCTCCTTACTCCGTCCTCCTCGGCCCTCGGGGCGGCAGCCGGCACCAGCATCCGCTCCGCGCCCTCGAGGGCCAGCGTGTCCTTGGCGTAGCCGATCATGGAGTCGCTCATGCCCTCCTCGCTCGCGGCACCCGTCATGTTGAGCCGGCGGTTCCTCCTGGCCATGGCGGAGAAGGCCTGGGGGCTGCTCTGGACCTGACATCGGAAACGCCTCAGGGCGGCAGCGCCGCGCGCGCCGCCAAGTTGCATGCCAGCGCTCTCGCCGAGCCCGTCGTCGTGCCCGCCGTCCGCCAGGAGCGACAGTGCGTCTGGTAGGCGACCACCGCTCTGAGCCAGGCCCCCCCTCCATGACGCCTGCTGGACCAGCCGGGTCGTCAGCTGCTCCACGCGGCCGCTGGCCCCTGCGGGAGCCACAGGGGGCTGGGGTTCCGCGGTCTGGCCCGCTAGCGAAGGGGCAGAGCTGCGCGGGGGTGGGGGCGGAGGGCCCGGCGACAGAGCAGGGCCTTGGGAGCCCGAGGTCGCTTGGCCGGCGGGGGGCCGCTGCGGGAACGGGTCCGCCGCGCCTCCCCAGAGGGGCGGAGGTGGCCCGACGGCGGCCGCAGCGGCGCGCGCGGCGGGCAAGCCCTCCAAAGCTGCGATCCTCTCCCAGAGCGCGTTCTGCCCGACCAGGATCTGCTCCAGGACCCGCTGCTGCTGCTGCGGCGCCTGCCTGGTGAGGGCCTTCCTGGCCGGCGCCTTCGGGGGGGCGGGCAGAGCAGCCGGCTGCACGTGAGGGGCTGCCCGCTGCCGCTTCAGCTCCGCCACCTCCACGGCCGGGCTCCTCAACTCCTCGACCGCGCAAGCCCGCTGCTGCTCCAGCAGCTCGCTCGGCGGCGTCGTGGCGGCTGGGGGGAGCAGAGAGGCCCCCCCTGCGAACCGCGCGCGGAACCCAGCCTCGGCGACCGCTGGCTGGAGCCCGGGCACCGGAGGGGGGCGGAGCGGCGGTCCGGAGGCCGGCGGCGCCAGCCTCATCTCCTGCGGTACGCCTGTCGTCACGAGCGCGGGCTCGCCAGCGCCTGGCAGAGAGTCCAGAGCGGCCACCATCATGGCGGGGACCGCCTTCGCAGCAGCCACTGGGTCGGACCCCCGGCCATCGTCGTGGAAGGCGTAGACCTCGCCCTCGCCAGCCTTCAGCGTGAGGAACCCGAACTCTCCAGCGATCTCTCCAGCAGCAGGGGCGGGCAGCCGCGCCGCGGCTGGCACGTTCTGGGGCGTGGCGCACAAAAACCAAGCGCTGAGGTCCTCGTCCCCCTCCTCGCCAGTGTCGACCGCGTTCTCCTCCTGAGCCATCATCACCAGCGGTGGAGAGGAGGCGGCACAGGGGCGCCGTGGCGGGCGGCCTCGGCGAGGTAGCCAGCAATCGCCTCGTCCTCCGAGGCGAAGCGGCGCAGGCGGTCGCCGCGGAAAGAGCGGTACCCGCCGATCCGCCCGGCGATGGCCTCCCAAGCCCGCCGCGCGCCGCAGTGGACCCCCACGAGGTCCGGGGCAGCTGGGCTCGCCCAGACCGCGTAGGCCCAGGTCTCGGCGCGCGCCGCTCGGAGCGCGCGGGGCGGGGCGGCCAGAATCGGGCGGGGCGCCGGCTCCTCGGGATCCGTCTGCGTACCCACGTCTCGTGTCGCAGGGCCCGCGCAGGGGGCCGCGCCCGCCGGCGAGCCGCCGGCCCCGCAAGGGGTCAGTTGCACGTTGACGGTCTGCACAGCGGACCCAGGCGCCGCGCTGCCCAGCGAGGCGCCGGCCCCAGCCAGGGAGGCAGCAGGCGCCCGCCGGCTGCAAGAGGACGCCGCCGCCGCCAGGAGCGAGGCCAGCATCCACTGGATGGTGCGCGGAGAAACGGGGCGCGCGGGCGCCCGCCGAATGAGAGCTTGAAGCCAGAGCCCCCGCGCGTCGAGGAATCGCTGCAATCATGGATGTATGTATGCTTGCATACATGCACGTATGTTTTTTTTTTTTTTCCGGCGCTATTTTTGGAGAGGGGGGGAGGGTGTCGGGAGAGGGACGCGGACAGCCGATGACCAATGCACCAAGTGACTCTTCGCGTTGCAGTGCCAGGGTCCTGTCATAAAAGCGGACACTCTGCGGCCAGCAGCAAATCGCGCATGGTGGAACCACCACGCTGGAAACGACTGAGTTTGATAGCAGATTCCTGTGCCCACCCGCAACTGCGTCGACCGAATTACTTCCACAGGCCGTACTGCGCCACTAAATGTCAGCGAACGCGCGCGTGCGTACCCCTGAAGGGTGATGACGGCGGGACTCGCACATGTGCCCAACGCGAGTGGGGAGAGGGCAAAGGAGAAGGAGCGGGAGGAAGAGGAGAGAAGCCAGCGGGCAGTTGTAAACTAAAGCTCGTGCGTGCGTAGACCAGTCTCCACGGCCAACGCCAGAGAAGGTACTCGCACAAAGGACCCACACGAGCAGCAAGCATATTAGCTGGAGCAGAGCCTCAGGCCTAGGCAGTGTGGCTACGCCAAGTGTGCGAGCGAACGATGCTACAGGCAAGCTGAAACATCAAATATGGTTCAAAAAGAGTGGGGGAGAGAAGAGCCAAGAAAGGAGGAGGCGAGGAGAGGAGGGGAGGAGGAACTGCGCCAACACAATGTGGCAGCAGCTAGAGCCCGCTGGTGACCTATCGCGAATTTCTGGGCAAGACGGGGCGAAGCGACCGGCAAGCATACTTGGCGTGGCGCCGGCGCCGCCCGCGCGGAACCGACGGACCCGCGGGCAGATGGCTTGCGCAATTAGGAAAACTACGCTCCTTCTGCGCAGCGCCACCTGGGATAGACAACAAACATATCATGCAATACCTCATGCAAAACTGCCACTCCGTAGAAACACCAACATCGACCTCCGTGGAGGAGGGAGGGGGAAGAGAGGCGGAGGACGGAGGAGGGAGGGGAGGTGCGTCGCCCTCGACGAGCGCCTCGGCTGCATCACGGGCCCTCTGGCTGGTTCGATTGGACAACACACCACGGTTCAACCAGGGAGGAGGGGAGGAGGGGAGGCGGACGACGGAGGCGGAAGAGGAGGGGGGAAGGGAGGAGACACGCCCTCGACGAGCACCTCGGCTGCAAACCAGGCCCCCTGGCCAGCCCGAACAAAAACTAACGAAGACTGACGGCCGAAAGTTTGTCAAACAGGGCTCCACCACGAGGGACGAACGGTGCGGCACCAATCCGAGTGGACTGCAGCGCCGACGGCGAAAGCCTGCCAGAGAGGCGAGGGGCCATGGGTGGACACGAGACCCGATGGGGGCGAGTCCTGTCGCACAGACTCCTGGGCGGGTGGCCCCCGTCCCATTCCGGAGGCTTGCCGAGCAGGACCAGGGCAAAGGCCAGATCAGTCGAAGGAGACGCTATTTGCCTGGTGCTTGTGGGAACGCGCACGGGGGACAAATATTGCCCCCCCCCACCCCCCCCCCACGCCGAAAAGCTGCTCTAGCGTCCAAACTGTTACGGTTTCATCAACAGGACAAAAACACGAGGAGGAGGGGAAGAGGCGGGGGAGGAGGACGGAGGCAGAGGACGGGGGAGAGGAAGGAGGGGGACCGCCCTCGACGAGCGCTTCGGCCGCAACACCGGCCCTGTTGAAGCGTGGAAGCGATGCCGCCACACACATGTTCCGACCTGCGCACGTGGCCGGAAAAGCCCCGGGCCTGGAGCCGCACGGTCTACCAGCATGCAGCAAAGACGGGCGAGACCCAGGAAGGAGCATGGGCGGTACCAGGCCGCAGGAAACGATCGATGCACCCACGCATCCGCAAGCGGACAAATGGGGGCGCACCGTTCACCAGCCAGCAGCGAAGGGCAGCCCCCGAATTGGGAAAAAAGGTCGACGGCCAACAGAAAAAAACGGGAAGGGCGAGAGAAACGGAAGAGGCGAGAAGACGACGACGACTAAGGAGACGACAGCAGGAGGGACCGCTTTGCACCACAGGGCCAGAAGAAAAAAATCAAAAAAGGAAAACAAAAAAAAACGAGGCGGGGAGGGGAAGAGGAGGAGTAGAGAGGCAGAGGGAGGATTGGGGAAACTGCACACACTTTGGCCGGCCGCTCAGCGTCGGAATCCCTGCCGGTCGCGCCAGACCTCGGCGAGGAATCTCTCGGACCTGGCGCGGCCCCCGACCGCCTCGCGGATGGACTGTTGCAGCGCCCGCTCGCCGTCTGAAGGCGTGAAACCACCTTGGTGGCGCGACGCGTTCGTGGCACGGTACGCCGCGCATGCCCGAAGAGTGCCTAGCGCGAAGTGTCGTTCATTCCTTTGGTCGTCGTGGACGCCAAGCCATCATGGTAGAAACCACTCATCGGCAGAAGAGGTCCCCACGAGCCCCCCCGAGGGCCTCCGAGATGCGTTCCGCGAGGGTCCCTAGACGCAAAATTGGCCCATTCCCGTAGTGAAACGTACATTTTTCACAAATTCGGCTTTGGACCTTTCCGACGCTCCCCGACGGCCCCAGAGGCCCCCAAACCCGCTCCCAGACGGCCCCAGAAGCCTCGCAGAGGGTCCCCCACAGACCCCTAGAGGGCCCCAAGACGGCCCAAGAGGGCTCCGAAAATGGCCCCAAGAGCGCTCCAGGAGCGTTCCGAATGGCCTCCACTAAGCTCCACATGGTCCCAGACGGTCCAAGAGCGATCAAAAACATCGACGACGGCCTCCCGACGGCTCACGAGGCCCCCCAAAACGCCTCAAGAGGCATCCAAGATTCGCCCCAAGAGGCCCTCTAGACGCACAAAATCGCCCGTTCCCTTCGTGAAACGTATATTTTTCACACGTGCGCCTTTTGGGGTGCCCCCCGCTCCTCGACGGCCCCAGAGCCCCCCAAACCCGCTCCCAAGCGGCCCAAGACACCTCCAAGAGGGTTCCCCACATTGCCCCCGAGGGCCCCAAGACGGGCCAACAGACGTCCAAGACGGCCCAAAAGGGCTCCGAAAACGGCCCGAGAGCGCTCCAGGAGCGATCCGAGTGGCCTCCACAAAGCTCCACATGGTCCCAGACGGTCCAAGAACGATCAAAAACACTGACGACGGCCTCCAGACGGCTAAAGAGGCCCCCAAGACGCCCCAAGAGGCATCCACGATGCGCCACAAGAGGGCCTTTTAGACGCACAAAATCGCCCGTTCCCTTCGTAAAACGTATATTGTAAGAGGGGCCGAGGACGGCCCAAGAGAGCCCCGAAGACGGCGCGCGCGCGACTCGCGGTCAGATTCCTCGCAACTTGCGTTGCTTCCCGCCGTGCTCGTCACTTGCCTCCGCAGGGCGTTTCGGCGGGTCTCTCCGAGGCGCCCGTCCCGCCTTATAGCACTTGGCGCAAACCACCAGACTGCCTCGGTGGAAACAATTCTTCTTCTGGTCTGTCGAGGGATGG